CTCTCTCTCTCTCTCTCTCTCTCTCTCTCTCTCTCTCTCTCTCACACACACACACACACACACATACATATATATATATATATATATCTCTCTCTATATATATATATATATATATATATATATATATATATATATATATATATATATATATATATATATATATACAATGTCACTGGCAATGTCAGATTTTTCCAGTGAGTTGCATTTCAAAAAGTGAATGTTTTTATTTCTGGTTTTCAGGCCTCCTGACAGCGACTCTGAGAGCGACATTATTTTCGACAACGCTGACGCCAGCAGAGACAGTCTCCTCCAGGTCAGTAGATCTTCATAAGTGATGCTTTATAAACTAATTTCGGGAGTATGACGTGCAGATGATTGACCACGGCTGGTCTCGCAATTGCCCACCCAATCAGATGAATTCAAACTTATAGAAATAGTCTGCCCTCACTACCTCTGTCGTCTTCGCTTTTGAAGAATCCCCCATCCACCCGACTCCTTCCCCTCTTTACTAGATAAATAAGGAGGAATTCTCAGGACCGACCTGAGCTAAGACTCTCTTCTCAGATCCTCTGAACTCAGGGCTCTCTCCCGGGACAGCATGCCAAATACGCATTTACCTTATCAAGCATCAGCTGAGTGTGAACTCTTGAAATAAACTCAAACTCATCATGTCACATTTACCTTTAATTAGACTTTAAATGTACAAGTGGGCAAAAATTAAGAGAGCCAAAAACATAAGGATAAATATATTTAATTCACACTTATTTATTGTGCCAAAACAAACTTTTATTTTGGGAGTGATTAATCACGATTCACCTTTGTCCAGCTCTATTAAACATTTAAACAAAAACAAAACACATCTGTCTGATTGTTTTAGAGGCTCAAGAAGAAATTTGAAATCAAAAAGATGGATGGATGAATGGAGAGATGGGTGAATGGATTGGATAAATACTGGATAAACGGATGGATGATAGAATAGATGGACGGATGGATGGACAGATGGTTGAATGGGTGGATGGATGGATGATGAATGGAAAGATGGATGAACAGAGAGATTGAATGGTTGGATTTGATAGATGATTGAATGCATGGATGGACAGATGGATGAATGGATGGATTGATGAACGAATGGTTGAATGGGTGGATAGATGGATGAATGGATAAGCAGAGAGATGGATGACGGAGAGATGGATGAATGGATGGATTGGATAGATGAATGAGGGTATGGATGGATGGACGAATGAACGGATGCATAGTTAAATGGGTGGATGGACGAATGGCGAGATGGATGGATGGGTGGATGTAAGTCCTGCAAGTATTCATCTATATTATTATTACTTGTTAACTGTTTACATGAAGGGCGACGCAGTGGCACAGTAGGTAGTGCTGTCGCCTCACAGCAAGAAGGTCGCTGGTTTGAGTCTCGGCTGAATCAGTTGGTGTTTCTGTGTGGAGTTTGCATGTTCTCCTGTGTTGGCGTGGGTTTCCTCCGGGTGCTCCGGTTTCCCCCACAGTCCAAACAAATGCGGTACAGGTGAATTGATCAGGCTAAATTGTCCGTAGTGTATGAGTGTGAATGCGTGTGTGTGGATGTTTCCCAGAGATGGGTTGCAGCCGGAAGAACTGTGTAGCTGTGTAGAACATATGCTGGATAAGTTGGCGGTTCATTCCGCTGTGGCGAATGAATGTCTACATGGATGGTTGTAAGTCCGGTAAGTGTTCATCTATATATATTGCATATTAATTGTTTACATTGTTGGATTGATGTAGGGATGGATGGATGCATAGATGGATGGATGGATGATTTTATGGATGGATAGGTAGATAGATGGATGTAAGTCCTGTAAGTGTTTATCTACAAATATTACATCTTAATTGTTTGCATTGGTGGATGGATGGATGGATGGATGATTTTATGGATGGATAGGTAAACGGTTAGATGTAAGTCCTGTAAGTGTCATCTATAAATATTACATGTTAATTGTTTACATTGTTAAATTGGTGGATGGATGGATGGATGGATGGATAGATGAATGGATTAATTGATGGATGAATGTAGATCCAGTAAGTGTTTATCTATGTGAAGAAGTGAGACTTCTTCCCTCAGTCTCTGACGGCCGCACTGGTACACACACACACATACACGCACACACTTACCTTCATTCATTCCTCCTCCGTCAGCTGTGTAATGAAGAGTGCACGCGTCCATTCACCAGCATACAGTCATCCCTCCACAGTTTCATTTCTCCCCTCCAGTCTCACACAAAGCATACACTTACACACACACACCCATTGACTGCGTGGTTCAGACTTTAGCGCGAGACCGGCCAAGCTGAGCGAAGGGATGGTGCGCGCTTATTACATCAGAAGCCGCGCCATGGTGGTTCGCGCGCTGAACGTCCGACCGTACCATTTTGTGTTGTCTGTGGGTAAAACCAGCGTTGGTGTTTGTCCTGTTTTACAGGAAAGAAGATGTGTTATGGTTGTTTGTGTTCAATGTTTCATGTATTAGGTGTCTGTTAAGCAGACATGAGCTATTAATGTTTAAAGCAATGCCATTGAAGGCGAATTTAAAGGAAGTATATTTTTTATTCCTCCTGGAGTATGGCGTGCGCCAATCGATGGGCGGAGTCTGGCATATAAAGAGGGACGCCAGACTCCAGCTCAGGATCCGTTTACCTGGCGAGCGAGCGTGCTAGGGCAGAGCCGTGAGCAATTCTTGTGAGTAAGTGGTAGTGATGGTGAAATGAAGCTTTCTGAACCAGTGAAGCGCTCGACTCAATTGTATCGGAAAAAGGTTCGTTACTCGAAGCTTTCTAAATCAGAGCTCGATGAGGACCTCTTCTGGTGGAAGTGTGGGAAAGCACTGTGTTGCCATAATGTCAAATGTTCACAACTGACCAACTCATTCATGTAGTAATACAACAACAGCAATATAAACAAATTACTCAATTACTGTAGTTTTTACACAAGATATATTACATTACACAACTGATGACTGTAGTAAAATCCAAGATATTCAAAAGTTTATCATAATACAATTAATCCCGCTCCAAGCGGGGATCGAACCAGCGATTCCTAATTGGGAGGCGAGTGCTATAGGAGGACGCTATGTGAACGATGCTTCAGGGTCACATTCACCAGATGGTCTCTGTTAAACACAATACTACCATATGCGTTGATTTTCTTTAAAGATAGTCATAAAAAAATACGCTAATACACTTTAGTATTGTTCAAAACCTTTTTACTAAAAAATACTATTGTAGTTTAGTTTAATTACTGGTGTATGGGACTGGTGCAGTGCTTTGAAACAAATGTATGTAATAGACGCCAATTCTCTCGCTATACACTTTACTATGAGGGTGTTTAAACCTTTGAATCAAAATTGGAAGCAGTCACGTGGGTAAAGGCGAAAATGAAGCTTCGGACGTCACGGATCACGTGATGATGGCAAAACGAATCAAGCTCCGGTACACTGCTTCACTGCGAGATGTATCGTTTTTTTGATACATGCTTCGAAGCCTCGGCGCACAACGTCACATCACTAGTAAGTGGATGCTAGTATACAGTGGTTACGTTTGACTTTTTTCCTTTGATTTTGGTTTTGGTGTTATATATATATATTCGTCTTTATATTTGATTTGTTGATTTGATACTTTGTATTTTTGTACATTTTTTTTGGACTTTTATGGACACTGTATATATATTTCTTGCACTAGACTTTATCCTCCACATTTTGTAAATAAATACCACCTTTTTTTTACACTTCCGGGTCAGGCCATTGTGTTTTTGGATTTTTGCCATTGTTTTTTTTTGGGGGGGGGGTTTATTGTGGTGTTCAGGCTTCCCATGCCTCTGAGTGGGCCCACTCTGGGTTCACAACACACAATCTATAAATATTACATGTTAATTGTTTACATGTCAGATATATGGTTTATTACCTTATACTTCCTTTAGGTAGTATAATTCAGAAATATGGCATGAATTATCATCTTTATGCTGATGACATACAATTATATATTTCTGTTGAGCCAAGAGACACTGCTGCATTGGAAAATTTGTCCAACTGCATGTCCAATATTGTGCAATGGATGACTGCAAA